CCCGCACAGCCCTGGGCAAGCCCCCGCCTCCCCGCCTGGCGGGGTCTCCCGTCACTGCTCTGTGATCGGGTTCCAGGCAGGTAGGCGCCAGATGATTCCGCATCAGAGCCCACGGCTCTAGGCATCGTCAGATTGACAACAGCCATGCTCAGGAGATGCCATTTCCCAAGGACTGGCTCTATTCTGAATGGTTTCAGGGACCTCCTGAAAAGAATCTTTTCCACGTGAAACTTGTGTTCTGTATATTGAGACAGTTATATCTGTTTTCTCTAGGTTATATTTTCAAAATGTGGCTCCATCTGCCAAATGTATAGGAAGTTTGGACTCTTGGAGGGCGTTTGAAGCTGAGCAGATTCCGTACAGGTGACAGTGTTTTGAACGCTGCCTTGGGGTGTCCTTGCTACACGGCGGTGTCCTTGCTACTGACTGGATTGTGAGAAAATCTGATACTGAAGACCTTAGGTGTCATTTAATGAAATACTTAATTTCGTGTATTTTAATATGCAAAATAAACAGGAAAAAGAAAGAGTGCCTGTGAGAACCATATACCATATAACCTACCACTGAGAAAATTGGAATTTAAAAATGATTTTACATTTCCAAGTAAGTTTAAGAGAGCATACGAACCAGCAGAAGTGTGCTGCTTTATTAATGACTTCGTGTGCAGCAGTCCTGTCCAACAGAACTCTTTATGATGAAAGAAATGCTTGTATCTGTGCTGCTCAACATATAGCCACTAACTACATGTGTCTATTGAGCACCTGAAATGTGGCTAATACAACTGAAGAACTGAAATTTTGATTTCAGTTAGTTATTCATAACTCATATTTAATTAAAATAATCATATGTGGCAAATGGCAGCCGTAACAAACAGTGCAGGTCTCTAGATTTTAAGTCACTGAAGATAGTCTTTATTTTTTAACTGTCCCCAATCAGCTTTTCCCCATTTTCATAAGTAGGTTTCAACCTGAATTCTTTGAGTCCTATAAAACAGGGTTTGAAATGCTGTTTACACAGGACTGATTTAAATCAATAAGAGGTCAGAGTTCTGTGGCTGTCAGCTGGTTAAAGGGAATCACAAAGTTCAGAAGGTCCTTCTGAAAACACTTTATGTATTTCAATATAATGCCCATGGACTGGGCTGGGGCCTTGGAGATTATTTTATAGGAAATTGAAAGCAAAGGTGCTAGTTAGTGGCAGAATTGGTATAGCATCAATTTTTTAACAAAGAGAAAGCAACAGAATTAAGTGTGTTTTGCTTACTCATCTGAAACTTAAAAGTTTGAGAAGGTTTAAAATTGTACATAATGTTTTCTTCAGTGTTTTGCTATGTGTAAGCAAAATGTCATAGTTATTCTGGAAGTTGTGCTACGAACGTGTGGATGTTAGTCAGAAACCGAGGGCTTCCAAAATGCAGGGGACGGCGCGGGTCCAGGCCTCACCTCCGGCTGGAAGGCCGATCCCTGCCGCCCTGCTCCTTCCCTGCAAGGGCCCGGCTGTCAGGGACTCGGAGCGCCTCTGCTCACTATTCTCTGAGGTAAGATAAAGCTTCCTGTCTTAGTGTATTATTAACTAGGACATATATTTTAAGCACTTTTTCCAGAGCTGGATTTTTGCTGAAAACATGCTCAGTGCAGCTTCCTAGGCTTAACTGCACCTCAAACAACAACAACAACAACAAAACAAACCCTAAAGATTTCCAGCGACAGAACTCTGTGGAATGTTACTATTTTTATCTCCAAGATTAAAGCAGTCCTAAATAGCTTCCTAACACCACCATGGAGTGCCCTCCGGCCGGCGTTTCCTACCTGCCAGTCCAGCAAATAATGAAGCCCCCTCCGTGTGCCGGGCCACCCACCCATCCCAGCCGCCGGCCGCTGTGACGAAGTGCAGCCCCGCACCTGCAGCCGGGGAGCTGCTCTCACTCGCCCCGGAGACATCAGGGACCGTCTCCCTGGCTAAAGGGGGAAGCTGGGGGCTTGTTCTTTCAGCTGAGCTTTTATTGGGGGGAAAAATTGGAGTTTGTTTGTTTGTTTTTGTTTTTACGAAGCCCGTGTGACAGGAGCTGGGCTGACAAAGCAGTCACGGCTGCCCTTTCGGGTTCTGAGGATGACACCCCGTTACATGACTCCAGGGACCCCGGCCAGCAGGGGGTTAGGGGAGGCGGGCATTACAGGGTGCCTCTTTCTCCAGTCTCTTGGTGCCATGTTCCCTGTGTCGTGGAGTGAGGGAGACTTTTGTAAGAAGAGATTGAGGCATGTGGCTTTTCAGAAGGCGAGCAGGTCAAGTTTTAAGGTTTATGTGCTTCTGGAAGTAAATGCTGGGGCATCTCAAAGGCCAAACCTCCCATCCTGCGGGGTGAGAGCGCACAGCATTCCCCTGGTTTTTCAAAGTCCCACGCTGTGCAGCGTGACAGCCCCCCTGGAGCCATTGCCCAGGCCCCACGTGGCAGGGCCGTCCTTTGTCACAGGGACTGCAGAGCTCGCACATGGTCTCACAGCAGTTTACAGGTGGACATCCTGGTAATCCTGACACCGTCTACGCTTACACTCCTATAAGCACATACAGGTTGTTAAGCTACTGGAAGGGATGGGGTAAGACTGGAGTTTCCTTCTCTCTGCTTCCCCTGTTTCTGTCACTGGACAGAGGTATGCGTGGCTTCTCCTGCTGCCTCCAGGCTCGACACATTACAGAAAACTACTGACAGATACAAGGCTGTAGGTGTAACGCATTTACCTGGGTGCGGAGCGTCTGCGATGGCTTCAGGAACTTACTCGGACAAAAGCCCAGCCATTTTAGACCAATCAATGATGTATCAAATCTGCAAAGAAAACAATTAGTGGGATTCACTAAATATGGTCAGATTTTATTTTTTAACTTACAGGGTAAGCACTAACTACATCTTCTGAATGTTTCTGGAGGGAAAAAAAGTCATCTGGTCCCCGCCAAGGACATATTCTTCTTACAGAGTTGGGCTGCACTGAGTAGCGACCCTGTCATGGGATCTCATCCTCGCCTCCAGCCAACATCATCCCCATGCCCTTGTAGGGACACACCAGAGAAGAAGAAACAGAACATTTTCGTGCAGTTTTATTCTAAGACACTTCTGCAGACATAATTACTAAATAAAAGGAATATAATAGATTCTTACTTGTGAATCTAGTTAAACTTTGGTAAATGATTATTTTTAATATAAAGCTTATACAAGTGTTATTGAACCATAATTTAAAAATATTTTAAAAGATTTTTGTTTCATATTTCATAGAATATATGCATGTGATATGTCAAGTTACAGAGGAGTGTCATGTAAAGTGTGTGGTCCTAGCCCTCTCGAACTGTCTTTCTGGGTCCACTTCCCAGAGATGCTTCCTACTAGTAGTTTCTTATGTATCCTTTTAGGACTTTTAAAAAATATATTTACATGCATAAAAATGTGTATGTCCATGTTTTTTTCATTTTATGCATCATACTAACATTATACTATTCCACTCTTTGTTTTATTATTTTTTAATTTAATATGGCTAGTAGAATTTTCACATCAGTATATGTGAGTCTGCCTCATTCATTTTGAGGACTGTACTGTATATTATTCATTGCACTGACACATGGTAATTTATTTAACCAGCCCACTATTAATGGACCTTAAGTTTTTGTTTCTCCTTTTCAGTTTCCCTCTTTGGCTGCTTAAAAAATTGTCTCAGGAGAGATCAGAGATGGCGGCAGACTGAGTGGAAGCTACACTGACACTCTCCCGGGACTAAACTGAAATTACAACTAATATAGAAAAACCATCCTGAATAATCAACTGCAACTCAAGACGAGCTGGAGAGCACCTTCATAACCAAGGAGGAAAAGTGGAGACCACAGAGATACTGGTAGGAAGTGAGGACGTGAGAGGGCTGAATGGGCTCCCACAGGCAGCAGCTGAAGGTCCAGAGGGGTATCTCAGCTACGGGGGATTCCCACTGAGGACTCTGAGGCCTAAACCCCAGAAATGAGAAAGGTGCCCACATAACATCTGGCTGTGAAAAGCAGATGGGTTTCTGTCTGCCAGGGAGAAGCAGCTGGAAATGAAGGCACCTTCTTAAAGGGCCATTGCACAAAGTTTCATGTGCAGCCACTCACCTTGGGCTCTAGCAGAGGGAGGGCAGAGTGGACTGGAGCTGTGTGAGGAGAACCTAGGGTTGTGGGCTCTGGAGACTGAGATCAGAATGCACCTGTCTGGATTCCTGTGCCTAGTCATTCCCCCACACTGCAGAAAATTTGCTGTTTTTGCCTGAGGGGGAAGCAATTGTCCCACCCTGCTGGAAAACCTCTCCCCTACCCAGAGGAGTTTCTACAGCCTGAGGCTCATTAAGAGAATCAGATTCATCAGCCTGCAGGCAGAGGCAGACCTCAGAGTGCTTTGAGTCTTTGCCTGATCTGCTTCTGGACCCTGGCCTTGGAAAAGCAGACTTTGGTGTGCATCTTGGTCCTGTCCAACTGCATCCAGCCCCAGCAGAGGAGGCTGAAGCTTAGTGTTGCTGATAGCTCCAAATTCAGGGCCAGTCACAAACTGCGTCTGACACTAGCCTGCACCGGAGACCCTCTAAAAAGACTGAGAGTCCTAGCAGATCTACCAAATACATAGAAAAAAACCCAAACAGGCACCCAAAATGGGGAGACAAAAAAACAAGCCCCAAATGAAAGACCAAGAGAAGTCTCCAGAAAAAGAGCTAAATGAAATGGAGATAAGCAATCTGTCAGATATAGAGTTCAGAATTCTGATTGTAAGGATGCTCAAAAGCATGAAAAAAGATATAGAAACTACAAAGGAAATTAAGAATGACATAGCAGAAATAAAGAATACATTCGAAGGAGTAAACAGCAGATTAGAGGAAGCTGAGGACTGGATCAGCGAATTAGAAGACAGGATAGGAAAAATCACTCAATCAGAGATCCAAAAAAAGAAAAAACAGGAGGACAGTTTAAGGGAGCTGTGGGACAACATGAAGTGTAACAATATTCACATTATAGGAATACCAGAGGAGGTCGAAAGCTAGGGTTAAAAAACCTGTTTGAAGAAATAATGGCAGAAAACTTCCCTAACCTGGTCAAGGAAAAAGCCAAATTCAGGAGCACAGAGAATCCCAAGCAAGAAGAATCCAAACAGTCCCACACCCAGACACATTATAATTAAAATGCCAAGAATTCAAGACAGAGAAAATTTTAAAGGCAGCTAGAGAAAAGCAATCTGTTACCTACAAAGGAGCTCCCACAAGTCTGTCAGCTGACTGACTTCTCATCAGAAACTCTATAGGTCAGAAGGGAATGTCATGAAGTATTCAAGGTAATGCAAAACAAGAATCTGAAACCAAAAGTACTCTATCCAGCAAGGCTATCATTCAAGATAGATGTGAAATAAAGAGCTTCCCAGGCCAGAAAAGGCTAAAGGAGTTTATCACCACCAAACCAGCATTGCAGGAAATGGCAAAAGGACTGCTATAATTAGAAGTAGAAATAGAGAGAAACATAGGCGTAAAGAATTAAAATGGCAACAGATAAATATCTATGAAGAATAACCTTAAATGAAAATGGATTAAATGCTCCAATAAAAAGACTAGGGTAGCTGAATGGATAAGAAAACATGACCCATATATATGCTGTCTACAAGAGACCCACCTCAAAACAAAAGACTCACACAGAATGAGAGTGAAGGGATGGAAAAATGGAAATGAAATAAAAAGCTGGGGTAACAATACTCATATTTGACAAAATAGACTTCAAAATGAAGACCATAAGGAGAGACAAGAAAAGTCACTACATAATACTGAAGGGATCGATCCAATAAGAGGATACAACCCTGATAAACATATATGCACCCAATATAGGAGCACCTAAATTTATTATTATTTTTTTAAATATATCTTTATTGATTACAGAAAGAGGAAAGGAGAGGGAGAGAGAGAGACAGAAACATCAATGATGAGAGAGTCATGGATCAGCTGCCTAGCCCGCAACCTGGGCGTGTGCCCTGACCGGGAATTGAACCCCGATTGCCTGGATCCTAGGTTGACGCTCAACCGCTGAGCCACGCCTGGCTGGGCTAGGAGCACCTAAATTTATTAAAAAATTTCTAGAGGACTTTAAGGGAGAGACTGACAGCAAGACAGTCATACTAGGGGACTTTAACACCCCACTGATTTCACTAGATAGGTCTTCCAGACAGAAAATCGACAAGGAAACAGTGACCCTAAATGACACATTAGATCAGATGGATTTAATTGACACTTACAGAACATGCTACTCCAAAGCTGCAGAATATATATTCTTAAGTGCACATCAGTAGATAAGTGGATAAAAAAGCTGCGGTATGTTTACACCATGGAATACTATGCAGCTATAACAAAGAAAGATCACTTATCCTTTGGGACAGCATGGAGGGACCTAGAGAGTATTACACTCACCAAAATAAGCCAGTCAGAGAAAGACAAGTATCACATGATCTCACTCATATGTGGAATATAATAAACAAACTAAACTAATGAACAAAATAGATCCAGAGACATAGAAGCATGGAACAGACTGAGGAATCTCAGAAGGAAGGTGGGAGTAGGGGAGTGGGTGGGGAGAGATTAATCAAAGAACTTACATGTCTATAAGCATAACCCATGGACACAGACATTGTTACCGGGAAGGCCTGGAAGTGGGGTGGATGCGGGGTGGAGGGGATAAATGGGGAAAAAATGGGGGCATCCGTAATACTTTCAACAATAAAGATAAATTTAAAAAATTGCTTCAATAATCATATTTACACATATGCATTTTTCTACTTATTTGAATATATCAGTAGAATAAGTTTCAAACAATTACTGAAGCAAATTGTTTGGTCACTCTAAGTTTTTGAAAGATACAAAATATCTTCTACAAAAGTACACCAATTTATGATACCAAAAATCTGGCTTTTATCAAATCTTAAATTTGTTTCTCCATTGGATAAGTGAAAAGTCTGTATTTGCTTTGATCTGCATTTCTTTGGTTATGAAAGAGGCTGCGCTTCTCTTTGCTTTCTTACTTTATGTAAATGTTCTCCACAAGTTTGCCCTCATGGCTTTTGCTCATTTTTCAAATTAGTTGCTCACTGTTTCTTATTTTAAAGAGCTCATGTTATGTTAAAGAAACTGGCATTTTACATGTAATGTGTGGCAAGCTGCTTTCTCAAGTTCCTCTTCATCTTTTTATTTTGTTTATGGTATTTTTACTATACAGCTATTAAAAATATTTTTTTATGTAGCCAACTTTATTAATATTTTTCATTATGGATTTGGTGTTTTTTTTTTATTTAAAGCTGAAGAGTTAATAAGGAAGCTTGTGTATAGGTTACTTTTTGGAACAACATATCCGTGTTACTGAAGCACTGTTATAGAGAAGAATTAGAAGGATCTATTTTTTTTCCAACTTCTTGGTGGTTTTGTTGTTATAGCTAATGAAACTTCCCATAAGAGCATTTCTCCTATAAAATACCGCTATGGTGTGAATTCTCTGGAATCTTGTGAAGCTCTAGCGTACCTTGGGGTAGAAATTAGAGATGGGCCAGATCTGTCAGGGCCATACTTCAGAGTTCGTAGTGGCTGCCTGAGATCTGAAATCTAGAGGGGTTTAAAAGGAAAGTAATAGAAGTTCCAAAACAAACTGAAAGAAGTATAAAAGTAATAGAGCTTCGTTATTGGAAACTTTTGAAAGCACATGGAAAAAAAAAGGAAAGAAAAAGTCACCTTTGATCTTAGCCTTGATCTTAATAACCCTCAAAAGCTTTTAAGATTTGTTATATATATTTCCTAGTCTTTGTTTTCTGTTCTACAATATGTAGGCATTTAAAAAATATATCTGTGATTTTACTCACAAATCAGTGCTAATATACGTAAGTTATTTTCATTAGAACACCAATACCTAAGTAAGACCTTAGTGGAGCCTTGACAAGAATCACCCAAATACATACACACTCTGTCCCATCATATGGCTTAACCTAATGGGAATTTAAAAAATAGATTTGTGTTATTCTCAGAAATCCCTTCTGTTAACTTCTCAGAAATCCCTTCTGTTAACTTTGTAGATCAAACACCAGAACACATTCAAGAGATCATTACGTAGTAATCATATCAGATTCTTTTTCATTCCTGATAAAGTGGTAGCAATTAATTGTGTGAAGGTTAAGGGGCTGGGAGACATCAGGGTACAATGTCTTTTATGTGAAATGGCATCATCAGATTGGACAGAGATGATTAAAACTGGGGTAATGGAATATTCTTGTTCTAGGGGCATGCCATGTAGATTTAGAAGCTTAGAAAATGCAACTGAATGGGATAACAAGAAGAATTTCGGTCAAAAAGTGAAGAAAATATATATAATGATAAATCTGTATATGTATGAAGTCTACTAGAAGAAATGCTGTGAGATTTTTTTCAATTTATTTAGGAAAAACCTGCTGCATATTATGTTCAGCCACAGTCACAAATATTTGGTTTTAGCGAGACGAGCAGGACTCCGAGGGTCACAATGGGGTCACTGCACTGTGTGATTTATCAGCACTGAGGATTGCTGCCCGCTACATGCAGGCTGTCTCTGGACACTACTGCCCCTGGGTTTTAGCTTAAACAGTAACTTACAAGTTAGATGTTTCACTGTTCGTGCTGCCTGGACATCTAAAGGTCCACATCCAAGCAGCTAGTGAAATTCTGTCTCCAAGGACGTGTCCCTTCATTACTGAGAAAACTGTGTCTGCTCAGTCCTGAGGACACACCCCTCCTCTCAGCTACGATCACTAGGAATCCACACTCAGTCTTCTCAGCAACATCAATGGGCCCCTGTCAAAACTACAGACCCCTGGCCAGATCCAAGTGACAGCTGTCGGAAGGACGAGCCTGGAGGAACCGCTCTGAGACCAGCGCTGCGGGCCCCTGGCTAGGATACGTTAGCACCTGCCTGCTCACTGACCGGCTGGTAGCCGTATTCAACTACAGCTTTGTAAACGATTGCTTGTACACAAGTGTTTCCATTAAAAGCGAAAAGAATGAGATATAATTTAGTTGGAAGGAACACTTTATGCATATAAGGAATGACTTGTTCAAGTCAAGGGAGAACTTTTTTGTTTTTATGCCATCAGAACACCAAAAGGTAAAAACAGTAAACTTTAGTTAAGTTATGGGGGAAAATAGAGATATCAAACCTTAAGTGTTAAATAATGGGCTGTCATAATTTTAGTCTTTATTTTCCAACTAAAGAAGGAATTTCTAGAAATTTTTGTTACTGCACTTAAACTTCAGATGACAGGCAAATGTTACAACTAAAATGGAATCGATCTTCTTTTTCCCATGAGGGAAACAGACCCTGATTTCACATCATAACTTTAAATAAATTCTCAAGTAATGAGTTGGCTTAAAAAGCAGGCAGCCGAGTGCAGAGCAGACAGTGGGGTGGCCGCTGAGAGCACAGCAATCAGAATTCCTGCGTTTAAATCTCGAGTCGACCCGTTACTGCATGTGGGTGAGCTACTTACCTCCTTATTACTCAGCATCCTAATGTACAAGGTGAGAAGAAAGCGGTGAATATTTCATAGCGCTGTCTCGAGGATTAACTGAAACATGTGTAAAGGCTGAACATTCTGTCTGGCCCATTAACATGCCAGCGGCTTTATTTACAATGTTTATTTAAAAGCCAAAAAAAGAACCTCTGGGTAATCATTCTGAACCAGGATGGGCGGCTGCGCTTCTCTAACTTTAATGTGCATTTGAATCACCTGGGGATCTTGTTAAAATGCAGATTCTCATTCAATGGGTCCAGGCCGGGTCTGAGATTCTGTACCTTTAACAAGCCCCTAGGTGATGTCCCTCAGGCTGGTCTGTGGACCTTGACCCCTGAGGTAATTGTGGCTGGTTGCTCCTAATCTGTGATTCAGTGGTTCTCAAAGGGGAAGCAGGGAAGGGGCAGAAAGGAAAGTGCGGACACAGGCATTAGAGCTAAAACGCCCCCGGTGATAGTAATAAGCTTGCCTTAGCTGTTCCCTGACACCTCAAGAACCACTGACCTGGTATCTCAACCTTTTTTCATTTCTTTTTCTTACTCTTTCCTCTACTTGCCCCTTACCATTATAGCTTTAGACTAAAAAATGGAATTAATACTTAGTTCCCCAATTAGTAAGTCTACAGCATCAATTTCAAGGCATTGGATTATACCGGGATACTGTACTTAAATTAGATTAGAAAAATGGTTTCTAACATTTCTCTTTTAAAATACAGGGATCTGAAAATGCATTTAACATTTTCCACAGCTTTAGCAGAAAACAAAGAACTAACAAAGAGGTAAGCAAGTGACCTGTGGAGCATTTAGTAATAGAATACAAGGATATTTAGTCCACGTATGATATGCGATCCATACCGTCAAAGGAGCTATAACTGCATGGGGAGGGGGAAGCTATTGTGGTTACTGTGGAAGTGGCCGGAATCACACAATGTGACCGCATTAGACATCCACCTGGTCTGACAGGTGGGCAGGAGGAGAGCTGTTTTTAAGTGGTTCCCCACCCCAGTGGCACTGAGATGATTAGGGAAACCCACATCTAACTATGTACTTAGCTTGAACAACAGTTTTCTAGGACCAAGATCAGTCTTCTACTTTGGTGTGTCCCCAGGGCTTCATATCTGTTAGATCCACAGTAATCCCCCTGTAATATGTGCTACTGTTGATACCATAGTTGATACATTTCGAAGATATAATTCTTCATTTTCCAAGGTAGTTAAGTGGATTTTTGATTAACGTGGGAAATATCTAAAGATAGCTTAGAGAGCAAATTAGCAATCAAAACTCTCTTTCAGAGTGTATACCATATGTGTAATTCGCCAATATTCTTACTCTGAAGTACCAAAGTACTTAAATCCATTGATCTAAATAAGATTTTAACATCATCTGGTGAAAGAACAAAGCAGCTTATATATGTATAAAATGAACAAGGAATCACATAAAAATGGACTCAAACTGAATGAATGATTAATTATATGATTTAAAAATTTAAATATATCTAGAACTGGGACTTGAAATATGAAGGCACAATGAGATTATGAAAAACAAAGCATACACATCTCTTACCCATTTTCTAAATTTGCAAATGTCAGAAAATGAAACGTGAGACTAGCAACACAATTTAAAGTACTGTTGGAAGGAACAGTAACATGAACTGGCTGATTCTAGACATTTATTTCTAGTTAAGACATTTAGATGATGCACCTATTTTAGAAACCAAATAAACCAGAGAAAAACTCTTCTAAATTGAACTGTAAGAATAATGTAAAATAAAGCAGCCCTACAGTATTTATAGTGTGCCGTGAATTCTTTGTTAGTGAAATATTCTGAAAGACAACTTTGGTTTTCCTGCTCAAGGGAATTGTCCCCATGGCCATCTACTATGAAGAAAAACAAAATCAAACAGCAAGACTGTACTGCAAATACAAAGAGCTCTACGAGCAAGATTCACTTGTCAGCTCCAACCTATTCTAAATATACACTGGTTTTTATTTCCAACTGTCCAATTTGTCATTACAGTGATCACTAACTAATGACACACACGGCAAATCTGTGGCTCTTTAGAGTTTTTTTTTTTTTTGCTGTGACTGAAACATATTTTAGATCTTTACTAGGATAATGGAACTCACTTGCCAAATCAGTTTAATGTTACCTTAAATCCCTATAGATATTCCTTGATTTAAGGTGGCTTTATATGGTTGGCTATTGAAGAGTTGATTTTTGGTAGGAAAAATTCATATCATGAATAAAACAGAAAGTATAAAATAACTTAATTTAGACTGGAAATGAAATAAAATTTACTTCTGCTTATGGAAGTTTTCCTAGACTTTTAATAAGAACCTAGTGAGAAGAAACAGGAACCATGTAATCCAGTGACTTTCGGCAGTTTTGAAAGAGTGGCCCATTCTGAAGGGTAATAAGCACTTTCCAATGCGCTGCGTGCAAGTCGATCTGTGGAGTGTGGGAGAGAGCAGGGAGACAGCGCTCCTCACCTGGCCTCGGGTACTTTGTCGGATTTTGTTGCTCTGCCTCTGTATTTGTTTATTGCCACAGCACGTCTTCAAGACAGCTTTTTAATCTTCACAACACTTGGACTTACTTCAAACTTCTAAATAAAATTCTTCATTTGCTAGCCTACTCGGGAGACTCTCTGGCCGTCCCCAGTCATGATCAGTGGGAAAAGCCTGGGGAGAAGGGCCGGGAACCTGCATTGGGAGTCCAAACACGCAAGGTGCTGGGACTCGATCTTGGTCCCTGTAGCAAATCTGAAAGCAAAATACAGCGACTCTCAGGCAGCTGCTTGAGAAGGACACCATGACGGCACAGACAAAACTGCAGGAGACACACATCATGCATATAAACTATGAGTTTCAAATGGTATTTTACCTGGCCTTTGGGTGAGCATCAGATTAAATTTTCTTTCATTATTTTCCCTCCAGCATAGGGCAAATAATTAGTCATGGTAATAACAACAGTATACACAGCAGCAAAACCCCCAAATCACACACACACATACAATTCTTACCTCAACCTAGAAAAACACCCCAAATAAGAAAGCTGAACAATCCACAGTTCTGTCCTTGTTTGAACACTGAACCAGGTTCAAGAGTGATGGGGAAGCTTCCAGCTCAGAGCTCTCGGGATGCGAGCACTGCCGAAGCAGCAGGGACTGGGAGACACTTTCTAAACCCCAAAGAAGATGAGCTGCTTTGGAACCAGTGGAAGAAAACCAGTTTCCATCTGAGTTGGATGACAGACCTGTTGATTTCTTTCAAGGTCAAAGAAGAGTCGAACCAGAAATCAAGGCATCAAGATGGGCGTAAAGACCAATGATGTCAGACAAGAAGGGGAAGACAGAGTAGACAACAGACTTAACTCTAGTAATCATGAAACTCTAGCAAACGCTGAGACCCAGCAACTCAGGGTCACTCCCCGAGTCTCAAATCAGGTTACAGAGCTGGCAGCCAGAAGTTGTGGGATGGACATGGAGCCAGCACTGGAAAACTTACTGATTTTCCAGAGCAGATAATTTACCAGGAAAGTTATTTTGCCAGTTTTTGAAATGCCAAACATGGGCTAAAAGGGTAATTATTTTGGACGTATTTTTAAGCAATAAATAAGAAACCAAAGGAATCAAAGAATTTTATTATGGGAGGGAACCTTATATGCAGGGACTTGAGGTTCAGGGCTTTAAAATAACTTCCCTAATAGCACATGGCTAGTTAGGTGGGAGTCCTTTCCCTGCTCTGGGCTTCCTGCCCTGCAGGGCCAGGAAAGCTGGTAGCACCCGGGGCACCTGAGGAGGGATTATCCATGGGGGCCTTTAGAGCTGGGGAAACACTACAGAGACCAGGGAGAGAGCACTTACAAGGGGGTTACAGCTTATGCTAAGGGGAACGAATGCCTGGGACCCAGGTCCCTCAGGTGGTGATCACCACCAAGAGAGGCATGTTGGGGATGAGGCACCTTCAGGAGGAGGTACACTTTGAACGGCAAGGTGCCAGATTTCTTGCCTCTCTCACTGTTACTTGCTCCTTCTGGAATGACACCAGAAATAAATGTAGGCAAGTCCCCAAAGTGATCCCAGGGGAAAGAGAGCACCTAGACTTTAGCCAAGGGGAAGGCTCCTGAGTGCGGTAGTGCGTTTTTATACTTATGAGGCCATCAGCAAACGGGGTTTGGTAAAGACGCCCCAGATGGCTTCAGTAGCCAGAGCTCCAGTGCTGCCCAAAGACAAGGGGCAGGAGGCGCTTTGGGGAAGACTTGCTGAGGTCCCCCGGAGACCCCGGCGGGCTGGCCGCTGGGAGGCCCGGAGGACCGGCTGCTGGCGGGCAGGTGGAGGGGAGGGAAGGAGCCAGCAAGAGCTGCTTCTAAAAGCCCGACTCAGTTACGAATTTGCACTGGCCGGGGCTGTGGGGATTCGGGTGCGGAGATGCCCGGGCCTCCCTGCCCCAGTTTGAAGAATCAAGGGGCACCTGGGGACAGCTGAAGCTGGGAGAGTTTAGGGGGCGGGCGGCGGCCATCGGCAGGGTCTGCAGGGCGGCGGGGAAGACGGGCGCGGACGCTCGCAGCTGCGCCTCTGAAGCTGCACAACTTCGAAACCCACGGGCGCCCGGCGGGGCCGTGCCGCCTCCGCGCAGGTCGAGGTTAAAAGGCAGGAGTTCGCTAAAAGCCTCCGGAAGAAACTTTACTTGGTTTCATCTCATTTCTGCAGATTTCTCGCTTGTCTTCGAAAGAGTTTGGTGAAATCGAAATGAAATTCGGGGGGCGCGCGGCAAACAAGCTCAAACTGTAACCTGCCAACC